TAAGCGCCGTTGGATACTTAACGAGGACCTGCGAATAAGGTACGTAAATGAGATCAAAAAATGATGGTTAAGGAGTATGCATCCCCCTTCCCTGCCTACTAGTTTCACAAAGAATATCGGCCAAGGTGGTATCTGCTGCACCATGCCGTGATTAGCACAAATAATCCGGATAAGGTCTGTATAGTATTAGGTTGTGACACCAGATATATGGGCAAGCCCTGGAATAGTAGGTGCTACAAAGACAACGGCGAACCTTGCCTCAATACTCCTCCGGTTTCGCTGGGAGCTTTTCTCGTTGTTGGCTGCTGTTGAGGAGATGTTTATGCAGGTCGAAGTACCAGAGGAAGATAGAGCTGCATCACATTAACTCCTGTGAACAGGATGAGACTTGAAAGGACATAACACAGAGTTTCAAGTGGTGATGCATCTATTCAGTGCTATATCATCTCGTTTTTGTTCTAATTTCACTCTGCGCAAAACCGCTTCAACCTTCCCGGTGCTTTATGATCGGACATTTTCTGCGGCAATAGAAAACAGCTCATACGCGAACGACCGTCGCCTATCGTTTGCTTCCGATGATCAAGCGTCGTTTTTTGCCAAAGGAATATGCGAGATGTTGCGTCGTGTAGGGTTTAAACTGAGAAAGTGCAATTCACCCTTGGCGATGCAATCCCTCCCAGGTTCAGCGGTAGCAGACTTCACAGTATAGGTCCATTCTCTGATGGATACTACAAAATGGGCATTGGTTCTTGAGTGGAATACGATTGAGGACGTATTCGTTTTTTGCTTCGGTTAAACCTCTGCTATAAAAACTAGCAGCGGCATGTTATCGACCGCGGCCTCCTTGTTGGATCCTTTAAAACTAATCGCACCACCCTGCCTACCCCCTAAACTAAATAATTGTAGCAGAAACTGTGTGAATCCCAGTTCGATTGGGATCAGCTGCTGACATCTGAGTATTCTTGCTTGTGGAAAGAACGGATAGTATTCACTTGTCGCCTCGGGAAAACCAGTGTTCCATGGGCATGGAAAAGCAGCCGGATATAGGGAAAACCGAACTGCACATATTTTGCGAAGCTTCGGAATCCGGCTATGGTGCAGTTGCTTACTTCTAGCGCATTGTGGTGATGGATCATGAACTATGAACTCTTTTGTTTTATTGAACACGATATCCTTGTATATTCCTAATTTCCGCCTATTACAATTCCATTCCGCCTCTGAGTTGACTTCTGATTTTGTTTCGAGTCCTAGTTCTGGATCGGAATATTAGTGCGCGGAATCCGATACGCATACGAAATACTAGTCCGAGTACGAACCACAACACTCACCACTGAGGGAAGGTCACCCTATTGTGTATTGCTCTACAGTAAATCGAGGGTGGCACCCATTTAAACCCGAGAAGATACCCCGAATGGAGCTTGCAGCGGCTGAGTTGAGCGCACGCATGCACAGTGTGCTGAGAAGGACTGTCAATTTTTTCCGATGAAGTTCGGTTCAGGACATCCTATGATTATACTCTACTACATAAGGAATACCAATACTCGATTCAGTATGTTCGTGGCCAACCGGATCGGATTAATCCATGAGTTTTCTTCTCCTAGTCAGTGGGCACATTGGAAGTCGGATGAGAACCCCGCAGAGTGAACCTCGAGAGGTA